TCCAATCTCTTGGCACTAATCTCTGCTAATTACTAACTCAAGAACTAATTCTCATTAGTAAAATGATAAACAGCAAGCATTAAGACAATTATATAAATCTTGTATAGCTAAATCACGCCCTAGACAGTCAATCTCTTGAGCTAGGATAAGCAATTCTCTTGCAAATCAGTTCAGACATTTCATCAAACACTTGGTGGGCATAAAATGAGCCTAAGATCTTAATCTACCTAATTAGGGCTAATCAAACATTAAACACAGCAATCAAGAAAAGAGATCGAAGAATTAACACTAAGACATCCTAGGTTAAGTCTCAAATTCTCTAAACCTAACTCATCTCAAAATCCCTAAAAAGACTACTCACTAAGCACCACTTTTTTTTTTTTTGGTCAACAATTTCATTAGGAAATCAAGCAGAGTTTGTTACACGGCTCAATGGGCTTAAAAGAGAAAGGGCCTGCTTTGCCAAACTATCAGCAACAGTGTAATCAGCCCGATTAACAAAAGAGAAAGATAGAGAGTAGAAGAGAGAGGCAAGGCTACAGATATCATTCAAAATGCCTGCAATCTCGATCAGCTCTGATCCTGCTAAGAGGGTAGATATGAGGACTTTCGAGTCCGAAAGAAGGTGGATCTTTCCGATGTCCAGTGCTACAGCTTCCCAGAGGGCTCCCAGTACCGCCAACACTTCCGCTACTAGAGCCGAGGAGATGAAACGGCGTGTTGTGGAGTTTGTTGTCACTGAGCGTCCTTGGAGGTCGGAGATGGACCAGCCCATTCCCCCGATCTTCGATTCTGCGCTCCATGACCCGTCGGTGAAGCAGAGTGAAGCCGTTGGGGATCGGGTCGGTTGTGTTGGTCGACGAGGGATCGTATGGGGTTTCTGATCCGGTGGATGGTTCGCCGAGGCCCACATCTTTGCTTCCAGGGTTTCTCTTGTCACAAGCTCTGGTCTCGTGATGTCGGTGTCATCGAAAATCAGCTTGTTTCTCGCTTTCCAAAGATACCAGAGGATCCATGGGTATAAGGGGGCATCTGAAAGTCCCGTATGTGGGAGGTTTTTAGTTCTGTATGGGGTTCGTAGCAGGCATCTGGTGTCGAGGTCCGCCGGGTTTGCGCTTAGGCTTGGGGAAATATGAGCAAGGCTCCACACTGCTTGGGCAAAATCACATTCGAACCAGATGTGGATGGTCGATTCTTGAGTGCCGCATCTAGGGCAGTTGGTATTTGTCTTCAGTCCCCTACAGCTGAGGTTTACTCCAACTGGGAGTGCGTTGCTTAGTGCTCCCCACAGATGGTACTTCAGATTTGGAGAAGTGTGAAGATTCTAGATATACTGGTACCACCCAAATTCCTCATCGCCGCTCCTGTTAAATCTTTTATGCATGTTGTACCCTGTCTTAGTGGTGAATTTTCCTGATTTTGCAGGTAGCCAAACTAGCTCATCCGCTGGTTTTTGGGAGCTAGGGATGAGCTGTCTGATAGTTTCCTCATACTGAGGTAAATGGTAACGGATCTTCTCTACATTCCAGTCGTTTGTATCCTGGTGGAGCAAGTCTTTAACTGTTAGTCCTGCGTTCTCTTTTGTAGGTGGTCCTACGATGGTTAAAGTTGAAGAGGAGGAGAGCCAGGGGTCTGTCCAGACGTTAATGTTTCGCCCGTCTCCCACTATCCTTCCCAGCCCTTTCTGTAGCACCTTTCTGCCCTCAAGTATTCCTCGCCATCCGTGTGAAGCTCCTGGTGCGCATTCAACATTCATGAAGTCTTTGTTGCAGCAATACTTTCCAAGGAGGACCCTCGAGAGAAAGTTGTTCCGGTTTGTCATTATTCTCCAGCTCTGTTTTGCTAGTAGAGTAGTGTTAAACTCTTCAATCTCTCGGAATCCTAACCCTCCCGCTTTTTTTGGTTGAGCAAGTTTCGACCAGGCGACCCAGGAGATGTTGCGTTTTTCCGGAGAGGAGTCCCAGAAGAATCTTGTTAAGATCGATTGTATTCTCTTACAAAGGGACTTTGGGAGCAGGAAGCACGACATGGTGTATGTCGGGAGAGCTGAGAGAACCGCTTGGAGTAAGACTTGCTTTCCCGCACCCGAGAGGAAGCGGGAGGTCCAGCTATGTGCCCGTTGTCTTACTCTGTCAACCAAGCCTGTGAAGACATCTTTTTTACTCCTCCTAAAGCTCTCGGGTAAGCCTAAGTATTTCCCTGTGCCTCCTTCCTTCCCAATGCCTAAACTGTCTTTGATTTTGGATCTGATGGTTGCTGGTGTTTTGGAAGAGAAGGTGATAGAGGTTTTGTCCAGGTTGATGCGTTGCCCCGAGCACCGTTCATATTGCTGCAGGATGCGGTTTAGTGCTTTGCAACACATTTCATTGGTGCGACACAAGAAGAGAGTATCAGCTGCGAACAGGAGGTGGTTGATATGGGGGATTTTCCTGGCTACTTGGATCCCACGCATCTTTCCTTAGGCTTGCGCTTTGGAGCATAGTCCCGAGAGAACTTCGGTGCAGAGAATGAATAAGTATAGGGAGAGTGGGTCACCTTGACGCAGCCTCGGGGTGGGTAAGACTCTGCCTCTTGGGGTACCGTTGATGAGGAAGGCATACGATACGGAGGAGACACACGCCATGATCCAGTTGACGAAGGTGTCTTGGAAACCAAGTGTTTGAAGCACTTCCCTGAGAAAACCCCACTCTATGCGGTCGTAAGCCTTGCTCATGTCTGTTTTCACAACTATTGCACATTTCTTTGTTGCTTTTGACGATTTTAGTGCATGCAGGGTTTCATGGGTGATAAGGACATTGTCTGTGATTGCTCTGCGCGGGACGAAAGCTTACTGGTGCTCAGAGATAAGGTTCCCAAGCAGCGGTTGAAGTCGGTTCGTGAGGATCTTTGCGATGACTTTGTACCGGACATTGCAGAGGGCGATTGGTCTATATTCCGAGGGTCCTCTTGCAGCCATAGTCTTAGGGAGAAGGCAAACATGTGTTTCATTAAGGTGAGTTTCCATTATTCCAGTAAAGAAGAAAGTTTTGGTTTCTTGACATATGTCTGCTCCTATTATGTTCCATAAGGTATGGTAGAATCCTGCAGAGAAGCCGTCGGGGCCTGGTGCTTTGTCTGAGTGAATATCAAAGGTAGCCAGGCGGATTTTCTCATTTGAAGGTAAAGATGTTAACTTCTGGTTCATTTCTGGAGTAATTTTGGTATGAGACACTTCTGATACTTCCTTGAATTCCGAGGTACCATTGGACGTGAAAAGTTCCTGGAAAAAGGATGAGAAGACCCTCCCGATTTGGTCTTCTTCAAATACTGTTTCTCCTTGGGTATTCTCTACCACTGTGAGGCGGTTTGCTGCTCGTCTCCCCTTAGTTACAGCATGGAAGTAAGCTGATTTCCTATCTCCTCCTTGTAGCCATTGGACTCGACTCCGTTGCCTCAAAAATAGCTCTTCCGCCTTATATGCTTTTTCAGCTCCTCTGTAATGTTCCCAATGAGCTGGGTATCTGGGGTTGCCGTCAAGAGGGCTTGCTCTAGAGAGATTTGTAAGTTTCTCATTAATTCCACACTGTTCTTCTGTTTGTTTTTTGACCACTCAATGATGTCCCTCCTACATCTGTTTATCTTAGATGCCAGTGCTTCAGGTATGTCGGGGAGCCAAGCCTTTTCCACGACTTCTCGGACTCCCTCTAGCAAGCTGATGCATCTGTCATACCTGAAGAGCTTTCTTCTTTTTGCTGTTCTGCCATCAAGGAAGGTAATCAGCGGTCTGTGAACCGAGCCTTCAAATCTCTGGTGCTCACAGCGACCTGAGGGGAAGAGGTTGGACCAATCACTGTTCGCCATTGCCCTGTCAAGTCTTGCCCGTATGAAGTGATCATGTCTTTTTCCCCTCCATAAGATAGGATTTCCCGAGTGTTTAATATCCCACAGCCCATTCTGAGAAACAATGCTTCGGAAAGGGATAAAGGAACCTTCACATCTGGTTGGTCCCCCCACTTTCTCTGCATTTTCTAAGATATCGTTGAAATCTCTTGTTACGCACCATGCCTTTTCTCTGTCTTTTCCTATTGTAGTCAGGGTTCCCAGAAGGCTGCTCTAAGTTGTTGCGGAGGTGGTCCATAGATGAAGGTAAAGAAGAAGTGTTTCTCTTTTGCCCTTATTTCGGTGTCGATGAAGTTCGGGGAGGAGTTGAGTATAGTGACTGAGATTTCTTGTTTCCATAAGAGGGCTAACCCACCACTGGAACCTACTGGGGGTAAGTGTAGTGGTTTTCGTAGCCCATTCCTTTCACTGTGTGTAGGACCTTCTCATCTTGGTTCTTTGTTTCCGTCAGGAAGAGTATCTCTGGGAAGAGGGTTTGACGGAGTTCCCTCAACCGGTGGCCTGTCAGGGTGGCCCCAATTCCCTGGCAGTTCCAGCTCGCCACGACTAAGGAAGAGGGAGTTGGGGGATTCGAAAATCCGCCCTATTCCTGCTCGAGTTCCTAGCTGTTGCCCTGGTCCCTTGGTTTTCCTCCTCAAACTGAGGTAAATTCTCCTCTGAAGCCTCCTCTGTATTCCCCTCGATTTGAGTTAATCTTCTTCTGGAGGAGGTGGCTATGCGAGTTGTTAATCTTTTCCTTGAGTTTGCTCCTTGGAGGGGGCTCTGATTATGCTTGCCTTTTGCCCCTGAAGTTTTTCTCTTAGAAATTGTTTTTGATGATTGGGATGTTTTCCTGACTGCTTGTTTCCCAGGTTTGCGTTTTGTGCCAGCTGGTTCTTTGCTATAAGTGGTTAAATGGAGCTGTTTGCCAGCTGCGAGGAGGGAGTTTGTTTGGTTCAATATGTGCTCATCATATTGGATTTCTACCTCTTGAAGCCTTCCTGAGAGCAGGCTAGAGCCCTCCAGTCTTTTCTGGATTCCCGTTGTGTTATTTGGGGAGATGCGATCCAGGGCTGACCTTCGTTGCCGATGACGCGATGAGCTTGTGACTTCATCAATATCCGCAGAAGGCGGCAGTGTCATTAGTTCTCTTGGTGGGTTTTGAGGGGGAGTGTGGGAGGTTTGGGTTCTGTGGGATTGCTGGGGGGTGAGGCGGTGCAGGTTACCTTGGGGATCCGTTGAGAATCTTGAGGGGTTGCTTCGTGGTGATCTGCCTGTTTGGTTGATTGTTTTGGATGGGAAGGGTCTTTCCGGGACTTCAATGGTGGGGGACGAGAGGGAGAGCCTACACTCAGTCTGCTTGCCACTCTCTCTTTGTTGGAGGTCCGGTCTTCCGGCCTATTGTATTCTCGGCTCACATTTCTGATAGAGTCCCCATGGTAGGGGTATTGAAGTCTAGTTTCGATGTCCCTTGTTCTTCTCGGGGAAGGGCATCGTCGACTGTAAATTGAGTAAAGGCTTCTTCCGTGAGGGGCAGGTTTCCTATGTGAGTAGCGGGAAGAGTCTTGTCGGCGGGAATCCTCTATCCTCCTTTGTGGGAGTTCTCTTGCTCGGGATAGGTTTCTCCTTCTGACTTCCTCCAGTGACGCGATCGTGTTAAGCTGGTTGATGCCTCTTGCACTTGGGAGTTTGGTTGGTTCTGTTGGCTTGCGGTGACAGTCCTTTTCCTCATGAAGGAGGGAGAAGCAGTGGAAGCAATGTTTTTCCAGCTTTTCGTACTCCAAGGTGACACACATTACTTCCCCTGAGGGAATGCAAATTGGTAGCTTCATTTCCAGTTGTTTGAGACTGTTAATCTCAATTCTTAATCTTCCTTGTGGGATGTCTTTTTCAACTATGTTTCCCAGGATTTCCCCTATGGACTGAAAGGTAGATTCCAGCCAGTAATGAAGCGGGACTCCGTGGATCCTGACCCAAAATAGGATGGAAGAGGGGAAGGAGTTGGAGATGACTGGTTCCCAGCGTTGGAGGATTAGCATCCACCTTTTGTTGTGGTATGGGGATTTGCGGAGGATAGTTGCTAAAGCTTCTTCAGATTCAAACTTGAAGCTGAAGAGATCTGGACCTAGTGGTCTCCCCTGAACCGCAGACTCCAGATTCCAGAATTGTGATAGCCATTCAACGACCCACTGAGGCTTCTGGACCGAAGGGTTTGTCACTCTGCCTATGAGGGTAAGCTCGTTTTCCTCGATAAGGGCTGAACTGTCACTTTCAGGAATTAGGATGGGGGTTCGGCGTTTCTGGTCTGAGGATGATTGAACCCATTTTCCTTTTTCTGATGCAGTGTACCGACGAGACATGGTGGATCTACTGTAAAAAAGCTCTCAACTCTGGTATGATTCAAAGAACTTTTGAGAGAATTTGTGGAGGTGAGATGTATATTGCAAGTGGTGAAGACTTCCCTACTGGAGGGTAAAAGGAGTACGAGCTACACCTGAGTAGTATCTTGATGGTTGGTGAGGAGCTTACTTGCCCGGTGGATAAATCCTGAAAGCAGGTTGTTCTTGGGTAAACTTGCTCCTGAGGGTGGTACAATTCGTCATGGTGAGGTCTCGGCGAGGATGATGGACCCTCCGCCCCGGAGGTGGGGCTGGCACCGCGGTGGCGCACCTATCAAGGTCGTGAGATTTGAAAATTTTACTATTTTAGGTAAAGAAAAGTGGTTGAGATTTGGGGCAGTTAGAAAACCAGTGGGTAAGGACTTCCTTGGGAGAAGGGCCTGGGAGCGTTTAACTTTGTTAGATTTGTGACTGACCATTGACTCTTCGATTTTGAGCAACGTTTAATCCACTAAGCACCACTAAATCAATCAATTCAAAGAAAGAAAGATGACTAATTATGATTAGAGAGATTAAAAATGCAAACATGAATTAAAATCAAGCAAAGATTCAAGTTACAAAATCCAAAAACTGAAACAGAGAAGAAAGAACTACTGGATAAAAGAGTGTACCCATAAATTAGGGATTTTTCGTATTTAAAGAAGTCCAAGCAAAAATGACAAAATTGTAAATAAGTGGTCTTCAGTCTAGGATCCTATCGGTCACTTCCAGACCGATATGCTGATCGATAGGATTGCTATCGGTCTGAAGAAGACCGATTGGGTGTTTGGAATACGCTCGTTTGTTTTCTATCAGTCAGTCATCTTGACCGATAGGCTGATCGATAGCTCCTCTATCGGTCACTCATTTAACAGATAGCCTTCGTGCTCTGACCGATATGGCTTGTAGAAATCATCTGCATTGGCTCCTCTTGGTCCATCCAAGCTCATTAATCCTCCTGGTTAATTCCCAAAGCTCATCCTTGCTCCTCATACCTCCACAAACACCTAAAAACATCCTTGATGCAAAGAAAATGCAAACTACATCCTAAATACAACCTAAGTCTATGTGGAAAAGAAAGTGGGACTAAAGAGAAAGAAAACATGCAACCGAAACATGCAGTGAATGCAAGCCTAAATGATGCAAATGTATGAGATATCAATCCTTTGTTCTTGCATCTTGGTAGCTTAGATTTATCATCTTTTGCTTTTTAAACTCATCTAGTTATATTTAACTCCAAATCAATTGGATTAGACATGATTAGTGAGTAGTTCTCATTAAATTTAGGGTTTTAAGTAGGGAAAGTAGTAATTAAGATGTGATTAAGGGGTGCTTAGGCTTGTTTAATGGTTCTCAGTTGTCTCCTTCTCTTGCAAAGTGATTAATGTTAATAAAGCTTGCTCCTTTTGGTTGAATATGGTTTGATAGATGTATATGGTTCACTTGATGTCTTGATATCTCTTCTCTAAGTACAGTTCGCTTATTTGGCTTGATAGTCTAGTTTGGTCTATGTTTCCTTTGTTCAGTGATACCTAAGTGATAGTTCACCTTGCTAGATGATTCGTTTAGGGCTAGATAATGCTGGTTTTGAGATTCTTGACTTGATGGTTAGATAATATGCATTGCAAGATCTTATCTTTGCATCATTCTTGTTCATTGCTTAGCTCTGTTAGGATGTTGTAAGTCTGAGCTTAAATCAATAATCTTGATTGGTGTATAGCTGCTTAGGTCCTTATTGGTTTGCAAGATTGATAAGTTGATTTGAATTCTTGCTTGGGTGAGAGAGTAGTTGCTTGATTGGTGCATCTCTTAGGCTAGAATGGTTCTGATTTTTATGCTCATGGTTGAAGGATACGCCATCACAAGTGGGTTTGACACTTCAATCATATTGAATATGAATTGCTTATTGACGCCAAGTGGTTCCCATCAGATACCTTGTTTAGGAGTATAACATTGAGAGCTGCTTGCTTGTTAGTGCTTGTTGAGTGCCTTAGAAAGAAATGCCCTTGTCTCTCTTGAAAACCATTGTCCCACAATTGCTTAGAACCTTGAGGCTTGCTTTTAATTAATTGTCTTCAAAGTCATCTTGCTTAGTTCTCGCTTTAGTAGTCATTTCTTGCTTAGTACTTATCTTAATCATTGCCTTAATTTTATTGTTCAGCTTTGTTCACTTGCATTTAGTTTATGTTTTCCTTTTATTGCATCATTAGGTTGTTAGTCTTGTTCTCACATAAGCAAACCCCAATCTTGCTTAGCTAACAGCATTGTTTGCATCTCATCTCACACAATTGGATTGATCCCTGATCTCTATTCTACAACTGATTAGAAGATAAGGAATTTGATCTAGTGACCAAAAACTGCTCTTTCAAATTGGTGCTGTTGCCATTGTGGATTGTTTGAGTTTAACATTGCTGTTAGACTAAGTTCTTTACTTTAAAATTTACTAAATTGCTCTGTTTTCTGTGCTCTGTTTTTCTGGTACTTGTATGAATTTGAGGTCTAAAGACTCATCAAATATGACTCTTTCATTGATAACATTCATAGGAGAAGAGCTGTAAGATAGAGAGTTCTAGAGTTAGAAGAATAGAGAATGGCAGAGCAGGAAGCTCAGTTACCACATGTTGGTGTTGTTGGATAAGCACCACTACAACAAGCTGCAGCAAACATAGATGAAGCATAAGAAGCTTTGAACTAAGCGGCTGGAGTTCAAAAATTTGCGAGTACCAGTTCATGCACTATTGTGTTTAGATTCTGGCCAAATTGAAATTGTATGGTTGAAAGTTTGAAAAATACTGTTTTTGTACTTTGTTTGACATTGTGTTTAGATTCTGGCCAAATCTAGGCATGCTATTGTTTTCCCAGCATATTGACCATTGAATTGTTTCTTATTAGACCAGTGATGGTGAATCTGATTCATTTTCATAGTTTGATGGATAGAGAATGTTGTTTTTAGCTTCATATGCTTGAAATTGTTGCAATCGCTGTTTGCTACTGTGAGAATTTTACTTTTAGTTGTATTTATCTTTTTGAGCTGAAACTTTTTGCTAAATTTGACTCTGTTTGTTGGTGATCGTGTGAAGTTTTGTAGAATTTTTCATTGCTTGCTCGAATTTTGAAAATTAATTTCCTGCACAGTGCTCTAAAGGGATATTATATTAATTCTTGCTTCAAGCATTGCAATTTCAGGTACTATGTCAAACACCAGAGGAAATAAGAAGATTTCTGACTCAAGTGTTACTGCAAGAAACATATCTGAGGGAAAGAGGCCAGTTGTTGAAAAAGAACCAGTCCAAGATGCAGCACCAAAGCTGAAGGATTACTTGAGAGCGATGAGGAGAATGGACTTCACTCCCACAAGATATGTTGATTCTGGTCTGTTGGGAGAGCTAGGAATCAAGCCTGAAGTGGATGAGCTGTTGAAAAAAATTGGGCTGGAGAAATTTGCTAGTCTTGGTTATCCAACTTACAAGCAACTTTCTTGTCAGTCCTTGCAAGCTTCAAGGTATACTTCTACAAGTTTGATGAAGAGTAAGATGAAGGAGAAGAAGACTTTGGCAATGGATTCATCAAGTTCAGAGCCAACAGAGCATGGTACACCATGGTGTTCACTCAGCTTGAAGAGATCTTTGGATTTGATCAAGACTCAATAGTAGAAAACATGCGCTTCAAGCATGATGAGCGGAAGCATGTGTGAGAGGAGATAGCGAATGATGCTTATAGAGTTGGTCATCTGAAGAGTGCTAGCATCCGCCATCTAGCTATCATATATGTTCCTAGAGTCCTCACCAGCACACTCTTCTACAGAAAAGAGCAAAGTATGGTCAAAGAAGATGAGATGAGGTTGCTTGTGAATGGCTTGAAGAACATAATGGTTGAAACAAGGCATGGGAAGATACAAGGAGAGCTCTTAGGAGTTTCTCTTGTGACAATACTAATGAAGCAATTTCTAGCATGCCAGCAGTGGGATTTCAACACCAAAGACAAGAAGCCAAATATAGCCATTGGAGGCGTGATCACTCCTATCTATCTTGGTGCTAGGGTTGAGCTTGGCACACCATATGTTACAATGATCTTCCTAGATGTTCCTTATCTCAGCAAGATCGGATACCTTTCAGGAGCTATTAAGACAGGATTTGGCTATCAGTTTGAGCTGGAAAATAGGAAGAGGATGATCATCTTGCCAAGCAGCGCTTAACCAACTTCACATCCTATGAGAACATCTGATTCATGCCAACAGAAGATGAGCTTTATGACCGAAGGACTAACCCACCATTAATGAGGCCAAGCAAAGTGAAGAACATGAGCACCATTAGAGACTCAGATGTGGAACAAGGCATTGAAGAGCAGCATCAAGAACAAGAGGTTCAACATCAAGGGATGGAAGAAGAGGAACATGAAGACTATGATAGCCACCGTAATGCATTTGACCCACATGATGTGATCTGCACATCTGAAGCTTCAAAGGCTGCACATAAGCATATTAGGCTTCTTCAAAGATGGAACCACTTCCAAGACAAAGCCATCAGAGGTTTGCTGAAGACAGTCAAAGCAAGCAAGAAATCGGTTGACTCTTTGGAAGAAGAATGTGAGGAAGCTCAAGAAGAAGTTGGGAGGATCTTACCAAGAGATCTGATCAAGCAATCCAAACAGAGCCACAAGGAGGAGGATCTAATGCTGAAGACATGTCTGAGGACACACCAGAGAGGACAGTCCAAGAGAGACACTCATTCCACATAAGTGAGCAGCCAAGAACACAAGTCCCTCAATCGGCCAGGCATTCATCCCATGTAGCTGCTCCAAGGTGAAAAGTAAAGAAGAGAAGCACTGGACAACAAACTCCATCAGAGGAGGAAGCTTCACCTTCCCATGCCATTGAGAGTTCAGACTCTCACCACTCCTCCACCTGAAGTAAGGTACATCACACTAACCATTGTAAATACCACTCAAATTTTTTAATTATTGTGATTGTTTGCTTGATGTTT